TTATTTAACGCTAACTTTTCTCCCTTGCTGCTGAAAGTTAAAGAAGACTTTGAGAACTGGTCCTTACTTAAACTGTCTCTGGTAGCTCGAATTAACTGTATCAAAATGAATGTTCTCCCCCGTTTTTTGTATCCTTTTCAATGTGTCCCAACTTTTTTAACCAATTCCTTTTTTGGTTGGGTAGATTCTCTTGTTTCGGATTTTCACCGGGAGGGGAGGGTCCCTAGATTGTCTAGACAATATTTAGAGAGACCTAAGCCACTTGGGGGGATGGCCTTACCGAACTTCAGGTACTACAATTGGGCCTCCAATATTAGGGTTTTGACAGCCTGACTTCGGTGTCTCCCATCCTCTCCTCACTGGCTTGTAACGGAGACGAATTCGGCAAAACCTGTGTCTCTCGTAGCTACTCACCAATTAAATCCTCGACTGTTGCTTACACTAGGAATAGCGTAGTTAAAACCTCTCTTAAGGTTTGGACTCAATTTCGGCGTTATTTTGGTCTACAACTCCTTTCAGCATATGCTCCTATCGCAAACAATCATGACTTTTCTCCCTCTCACAGACAAAACTTTTGTGATTTGGTCAAACCTTGGCATTCAGACCTTTAGGGATTTATTTATTGATGGTATCTTCGCTACCTTTCAACAACTCTCTGCCAAATTTACTCTCCCATCTCGAGATTTTTTCAGATTTTTACAGGTGTGCAGCTTTGTTCGTAGTAATTTTCCCACTTTTCCTAGGCTGCCTAAAGACTCTGACCTTGACTCCTTGCTTTTGCCCATTCCTCAGAGCGGATCGCATAGCTTCGATCCGCCCTTAGTCTTTAGGATCAATCAAGGCCCTCTGGAAGGAGGATATAGGAGAGGCTATCCCTGACGAGCTTTGGTCACGTATCTTAATCCGGGTACATAAGTCTTCTATATGTGCTAGGCACTGTCTTATTCAATGCATGCTTGTGCACCGCGTTTACTATACCAGGGCCCGTCTGTCTAAATTCTACAGGTGCTGGTCATAAAATTAGAATATCATGAAAAAGTAGATTGATTTCAGTAATTCCATTTAAAAAGTGAAACTTGTATATTATATTCATACATTACATACAAACTCATATATTTCAGATGTTTATTTGGTTTAATTTTGATGATTACAAATGACAACAAATGAAAATCTCAAATTCATCATATCAGAAAATTAGAATATTACTGAAGATCAATAAAAACAAAGGATTTATAGAAATGTTGGCCAACTGAAAAGTATGAACATGAAAAGTATGAGCATGTACAGCACTCAGTATTTAGTTGGGCCTCCTTTGGCCTGTATTACTGCAGCAATGCGGCGTGGCATGGAGTCGATCAGTCTGTGGCACTGCTCAGGTGTTATGATAGCCCAGGTTGCTCTAATAGTGGCTTTTAGCTCTTCTGAATTGTTGGGTCTGGTGTATTGCATCTTCTTCTTCACAATACCCCATAGATTTTCTATGGGGTTAAGGTCAGGAGAGTTTGCTGGCCAATTAAGAACAGGGATACCATGGTCCTTCAACCAGGTACTGGTAGCTTTGGCACTGTGTGCAGGTGCCAAGTCCTGTTGGAAAATGAAATCTGCATCTCCAAAAAGTTGGTCAGCTGCAGGAAGCATGAAGTGCTCTAAAACTTCCTGGTATGTGGCTGCGTTGACCCTGGACCTCAGAAAACACAATGGACCAACACCAGCAGATGACATGGCACCCCAAACCATCACTGACTGTGGAAACTTTACACTGGACTTCAAGCAACGTGGATGAAGTGCCTCTCTTCTTTTCCTCCAGACTCTGGGACCTTGATTTCCAAAGGAAATGCAAAATTTACTTTCATCAGAGAACATGACTTTGGACCACTCACCAGCAGTCCAGTCCTGTTTCTCTTTAGCCCAGGCAAGACGCTTCTGACGCTGTCTGTGGTTCAAGAGTGGCTTGACACAAGGAATGCGACAGCAGAAACCCATGTCTTTCATACGTCTGTGTGTGGTGGTTCTTGAAGCACTCACTCCAGCTGCAGTCCACTCTTTGTGAATCTCCCCCACATTTTTGAATGGGTTTTGTTTCACAATCCTCTCCAGGGTGCGGTTATCTCTCTTGCTTGCACACTTTTTTCGACCACATCTTTTCCTTCCCTTCGCCTCTCTATTAATGTGCTTGGACACTGAGCTCTGTGAACAGCCAGCCTCTTTAGCGATGACCTTTTGTGTCTTGCCCTCCTTGTGCAAGGTGTCGATGGTCGTCTTTTGGACAACTGTCAAGTTCCCCATGATTGTGTAGACCATTTAAAGGCTTTTGCAGGTGGTTTGAGTTAATTAGCTGATTAGAGTGTGGCACCAGGGGCCATCAATTTTGAACCTTTTCACAATATTCTAATTTTCTGATATGATGAATTTGAGATTTTCATTTGTTGTCATTTGTAATCATCAAAATTAAACAAAATAAACATCTGAAATATATGAGTTTGTATGTAATGTATGAATATAATATACAAGTTTCACTTTTTAAATGGAATTACTGAAATCAATCTACTTTTTCATGATATTCTAATTTTATGACCAGCACCTGTATAGCACAGTTTCCCCAGTTTGTGATAGGTGCCAACAGTCTCCTGCGAACCTTATACACATGTTTTGGTTGTGCCCCCAGCTGAAGAGCTTTTGGACAGAGTTATTTGTTGTTATATCAGACGTGGTTGGCAGAAAAATGTATCCGAACCCCAAGAGAGCTTTGTTTGGGGTGTTTTCGGGGCCATCTCCTTTGTCCTCTTCCCAAGAAAATTCTTTGTCCTTTATGACCATTATAGCAAGGAGGATAATTCTTCTTAAATGGAAATCACCACAACCTCCTTCTTTCGTACTTTGGTTGAGGGATATGGTTTATTTTCTTAAACTTGAAAAAATTAGGTTGTCACTACGGGGTTACTTTGACAAATTTGCAGAGATTCTGACAACCATTACTGCGATTGGTTGGTCAGGTTAATTTCCATTCTGTCCCAGTCTAGTCCTTCGTGTATACTTTCCTGGGCACAAACTGTACTGTACTATCTCAAAACATTTTTTATTTTTTTATAAGTTTTTATATATTTTTTATTTTTTTCTCTCGTGTGGGTGTCCTTTTTCTTATGACTTTTTCTTATTTCCTGGGAGTGATTGGAGGTCGTTTTGTTGTGTTTTCTGTTTGGTTTTTTATGACTCAAGAGAATTGTATGGTTTGTTTGATATGTATCACATTGTACATTTATGGCTATGCAATTCCTTGACCTTGACTCCTTGCTTTTGCCCATTCCTCAGAGTGGATCGCATAGCTTCGATCTGCCCTTAGTCTTTAGGATCAATCAAGGCCCTCTGGAAGGAGGATATAGGAGAGGCTATCCCTGACGAGCTTTGGTCACGTATCTTAATCCGGGTACATAAGTCTTCTATATGTGCTAGGACTGTCTTATTCAATGCATGCTTGTGCACCGCGTTTACTATACCAGGGCCCGTCTGTCTAAATTCTATAGCACAGTTTCCCCAGTTTGTGATAGGTGCCAACAGTCTCCTGCGAACCTTATACACATGTTTTGGTTGTGCCCCCAGCTGAAGAGCTTTTGGACAGAGTTATTTGTTGTTATATCAGACGTGGTTGGCAGAAAAATGTATCCGAACCCCAAGAGAGCTTTGTTTGGGGTGTTTTCGGGGCTATCTCCTTTGTCCTCTTCCCAAGAAAATTCTTTGTCCTTTATGACCATTATAGCAAGGAGGATAATTCTTCTTAAATGGAAATCACCACAACCTCCTTCTTTCGTACTTTGGTTGAGGGATATGGTTTATTTTCTTAAACTTGAAAAAAATAGGTTGTCACTACGGGGTTACTTTGACAAATTTGCAGAGATTCTGACAACCATTACTGCGATTGGTTGGTCAGGTTAATTTCCATTCTGTCCCAGTCTAGTCCTTCGTGTATACTTTCCTGGGCACAAACTGTACTGTACTATCTCAAAACATTTTTTATTTTTTTATAAGTTTTTATATATTTTTTATTTTTTTCTCTCGTGTGGGTGTCCTTTTTCTTATGACTTTTTCTTATTTCCTGGGAGTGATTGGAGGTCGTTTTGTTGTGTTTTCTGTTTGGTTTTTTATGACTCAAGAGAATTGTATGGTTTGTTTGATATGTATCACATTGTACATTTATGGCTATGCAATTCCTGTTAAAAACCAAATAATCCAAGTATGTAAAAAAAAAAGAAAAAAAAAAAAGAGGATAAGATCCTCTTGACGAGGATCTTATCAAGGAAATTCCTGAAAGACATTGAGGGGTCCTGAAAGACACAGAGACATCTGCATATTCCAGCTGCCACCACCAGCTGATCTACAACACTAGATATAATGTGGGCCAGATGCAACAAAAGACCTTCTAGGGCTCTTTGTTGAAATTTCACAAGGCAGATACAGCTTTCATAAATCCCAAAGAGGCTTTGAAAGATTCTGCTGTTAGCTTGGAATAATCTAATCCAGGTTCAGGTGTCTGAGTGTTGAAATTTTTTAAATTAGAACAGATTAAAGACACTTAAGGTGGTCAGAAAAGAGGTGGAATAGCCCTTCAGTCGTTAGCTAAACCTGAAGCCAGCTTCAGCTTGGTTTCCACAGTGAGGTCAGAAAAAGACACCAAGATCTAATCAGGGATCATATCAGCCTCCATGTTGGAATCTAAGCACCAGAAACCATTGATATCTATATACATGATAGAGCTCTCATGGTGGCTCGCTGGACGGTGTTGTGCCAAAAAGTGATTGTCTGTTATAAACTGATCGGCTAAGATCGGCCGCGTTCCCACAGAGCAGCAAGAAGAGGGACTTGTTTCTATGTTTAGTGAGCCCAACCTGCCTGTGTTGTTTCAAGTTTCTTTCTCTGTATTTTAGATTTTGAAATCAAACACTATTAACACCAGTAAACCAGTTATATTTCTATGACCAAAGTTACAGCAGATGTGTCTTATTTACCTTTCTGCTCCTCATCAACGGCTTCATTTTTGCATTCCTCATGAACATCTGCAAAAAAACAGACAAACAAAATAATATGAAACGTAGTGAAATGAAGCGGTCAAACAAAATTACGGCAGCCCCACCCTTACTCTTCTCATCAGTGAGACAGGCGAGTGCACACTTATACACACCTACTTCCTTGGTGCACACCCACCTCCCTTTTGAGTCTGAACCCCCGAGACACACCATACACCACATAACCATTTATGTCTCCTACAATTATATTAATTCATATTATTTATTATATTAATTATTATTTTATAATATTAAATATATTCTGCTGAACTCACCCCCCCAGCACTGAAATAATCCACAAAATACACAGTATATGCAACCCAGTCTCATGGGAAAATGTACCCCCACTACGTTGGTCCACACTGCAAAACGTAGTGGAGGTACATTAATGGCCATTTTTTTGTGGTACTGTTACGTTTCTTCTGCCTATACGCTTTGTTTTTTTTTTTTACGTCCTAGTCACGTGACTTTCAAGATTCCAGCTGGGAGAAGAAAAAAATATATATATGGCCGACATTCGCTCATTTTTTTGTGGAAAGATTAATGACTTGAGTTTGTTTTTGCATTAAAATGAGTTTAATTAGTTTCTCCCGTATGCCACGACGTAATGCATTGATCTGAAAATCAACCTCAGACGCAACGCACGCAGTGGCGAGGGTTTGATCCGTCAGATGGAGTTAAATCACAAAAAATTCAATGTTGAATCGGGGCGGCAGCTAAATGCTACGCGATAGGTAGCAGCCAAAACGTTGCAATTTCACATAATCCTGACGAGATCCGAAAAACGTAGCAAAAACTAGCAAGCGGGTGATTATGTAAGTTCACGAAGTAAATATTATGTAAATAAACCCTACACTTCTCGCTATAAATGTAATCAAAACCCATTTAAATGCAGAAACTGATTGAAATTATTGATTTTCCCACTAAAAGTTAGAGAAATCTCAGCCATGTTTATACCAAAATGTTACAGTTTCACATTATCTTGAAAAATCTTTGCAAGAAACGAACAAGCAAGTGAATATAGTAAATATTCTGGCAACAAACTATACATTTCTCACTAGAAATGTAATCAAAACTCATTTTAATGCAAAAACAAACTCAAGTCATTAATCTTTCCACAAAAAAATGAGCGAATGTCGGCCATCTATATATATATTTTTTCTTCTCCCAGCTGGAATCTTGAAAGTCACGTGACTAGGACGTAAAACAATAGAAAGCGTATAGGCAGAAGAAATGTAACAGTACCACAAAAAAATTGCCATTAATGTACCTCCACTACGTTTTGCAGTGTGGACCAACGTAGTGGGGGTACATTTTCCTATGAGACTGGGTTGGTATATGACTATTTTACTTTCCTAAAGGTGATTTAAACTTATTTTTTGACCTGCAGTGTATTTTCTGTGTGAAATTGCTTTATTCAACTCTAAGGCATAAAATGTAATATATCTTACTGAACTCTCCACCCCAAACACTCAAAAAATCCACAAAATAATGATGCCAGACGATATGTACTACTTTATCTTGACTTTTGAAGCAACAAGCGCTAACAACCACAGCGTTTACCGACTTCCTGTTTTCAAAATAAAAGTGTAGGCCTAGTTTTTAAAGCGGAGAAGCTATCAATATTGAAATTTATCCTATATGTTTAAAAACTATTTAGAGACTTGAAATGTAAAACTAAAATGTTTAACTTTTGAAGCCAGTGGAGTGATTTGATCCAACACTGATATTAAATCAATTGATCACATGTTCTGGAAACTTGAGCAAAAATTTTTATATTTTCATACAAAAATTAAAAATAATTCAAGATTTAATGTGGAACGCTATTATCTAACAACGATTTTGAGTCAATTGATCACATTAGCTATTGAGCTACATTATGTTGATAGGAATTTATTAGAATATAGATTTAGAGATTTTTTCTCAATATAGTTAGAGATTACCCTCTCTGAACCGTTACTTTAGAGCTGTGAAAGGATTTCAGTGAATTGTAAATTGAATTCTCCTCACATATAAAGCCTTAAATGGTCAAACTCAATCTAATATCAGATATCAGATCATTCTCTATGTTCCTAACAGAGATGGATATAGAGATAGCTCAGGTTATCAAGAGCTATCTCTATAGTTATGCTGCTATAGGCTTAGACTGCTGGAGGACATAGGGACCCCTTTTCAGATCACTACCGCGCCGTGCAATTGGCAGCCCTGCATCAGTTAACAGCTAGCTTGTTAACTATCTGGAGCAGAAACCTTTTCTGATGGTTTTAAAATGTGCATTTCAATATACAATATACATACCCCATAATTCTAATACAACCACAGTTGACGCAAGACGGAAATGAGCCAAGAGCAAATAAATCAATAACAGAAATACTGATGCCGCATATACAGTATTTCAGCATAAATGCAGCACGATAAACCAGGTCACCTGAAACTTTGAATACCTTACAAGAGAGAACTGCACATACATACTACCATATGTACATATACATACACACAAACCCACACCCCTCCCCCTCCCCTCTAGGGTGCTTACCCACAGGCCAAAAATACCACATATAGTAAACAAACAGCAAAAAATTATATGTATAAAATATATACCCACTTACATGTATACATACACATACATATACATATTGAAGTATATACCTTTGTAATACCGATGACGGAGCAGATTGCGATCCATTAGAATCACTACAGCCCAAAATCACACACCCATATATAATTTCACCAAATGCCATCTTTGATTGAACTTGTCCACTTTGAGTTGTAAACATGCGGTCATTTTTTCCATCATAAACACTTGTTTTACCCTATTCTTCCACTCTGCTATAGATGGTGACAAAACTTGTCTCCAGTTAGCCGTTATAGTTTTTTTAGCTACTAATAGTAAAATGTGCAAAATATACTTTTGGTCTACATTAAAATAGTCTGGTATTATATTCAGTAAATAAAACAGAGCATTTGAAGGTATTTCTCTGTTTATAATTGTCTCTATTTCATCCCTAATCCCCTACCAATACTCACTGATAACAGGACAGTCCCAAAGAATGTGCGTATGGTCACCAATCTTCCCACACTGTCTCCAACATAGGGCTGCTGAAGGATTTTTCACAAATCTAGAAATTAAAAACGGGGTGCGAAAAAATCGTATTAAAATTTTAAAAATTTGATTTTATTCCTTTTTGGAGAACAAACTTCTCACTTGTAGTTATAACCTTTCCCGTTTTGTGTTGAGTTGTCGCTTGCCAAACTACAACCTGAGAGTAATACTGCAGCCAGTAAAACTCTGGGGAGTCTAAAATGTGCTGCTACATAAAAAAAAAAAGAAAGAAAAAAGATTACACTTCTTTAAAACTACCCGCAACAAAAGATTTGCATACATTTCTGGAATCGAGTTTTTGCCCAGGCCCAGTACAACCTCTGACTTTATGCTCTGATTTTTCTCATCATAACAGCTTCATGTGGTCTGTTCCTGTTTGGCTGTGACTCCATCCTAGAGAGAAATATCAGCTGTGCTGCTGCCATCAACACCTTTTCTTATAGATGTTGAAGATGGGCTTGTTTTTCATAGCTGTCCTGTTTCTCTTACTGTGACTAACTGTATGTGCTACATTTCATCCTCTGGCGTGGGAACTGGTTTAGAGCTCGTCTGCCTGTATTTCCGGGAATGGACCAACTTTTGTATCTCTGCTTCTTTCTGTATGTTTGATGCTAGATGGCCGCTAACAATGAACCCAGTTCTGCTGGAGGTTTCCTGCTGTTAAAAGGTAGTTTTCCTCTCTACTGTCACTACAAGCATGCTTGGTGTGAGGGGTTGGCTTTGAGTCAATGAGTCGATGTAATCTGCTGGATTTCTTTGGATAGAAAACTTTAAACCAATCTGACTGAATTGTCTCTATAAAGTGGTTAAGATGACATGAGATGTGAATTGGCGCTGTATAAATAAACTGAATTGAATGATAACAGAGGCTATGTTTTCAGGGAGCTTAAATTCCCCCGGATGACCGGTTAGAAAAAGAGTAGTTAAAAAAGTCAAAAGTCAAAAAGCCTTTATTGTCATTATATTCTGTGACAGATACAATGAGATTTGGGACTTCCATAACAGCTACCGTGAAATAAAAATAAAAAATATATAAAAAATATATAGATATATTAAAAGGAAAAGGAATGTAAACAGTTACAAAAAAATATATATAAATATATTAAAAGGAAATGTAAACAGTGAAAATGGAAATGTAAACAGTGAAAAGGAAATGTAAACAGTACTGGCACAGATTGTGGGGGGGGGGGGGGGGGGGGATAGTGCAAAACAGGTGTAAAGTGACCGACAGTGCAGGTCGGAGTTGAGGGGGGGCAATGGCTTGGGGAATAATGTAAACCAGGTGAAAAGTGTCCGTCAGTGCAGGTCGGAGTTGAGGGCGGCAATGGCTCGGGGGAAGAAACTGTTCTTGAGTCTGTTTGTCCTGATCCTCATTTGCCTGTAGCGCCTTCCAGAGGGCAACAGGTCAAACAGGGTGGAGCCAGGGTGGGAGCTGTCCTTGGAGATGGCCCTGGCTCTGCTGAGGCACCGGGTGGAGTAAATGTCTGCCAGGGAGGGGAGAGGGCGACCGATAATCCTCTGCGCTGCCTTTATCACCCTCTGCAGCCTCTCCCTGTCGGCAGCGGTGGAGCTGCCGAACCATACTAAGATGCAGTAGGTCAGCAAGCTCTCGATGGAGGAGCGGTAGAAGGCCAGCAGCAGATCAGAGTTGAGGTTATACCTTCTGAGGATTCTCAGGAAGTGTAACCTTTGCCGGGCCTTCTTGATGATGGTGGTGATGTTCTCTGACCAGGTGATGCGGTCAGAGATGTGGACGCCGAGGTATTCGACGCTGTGAACCCTCTCCACCTGCTCGCCGTTGATGAAGAGGGGAGCTGGCTCAGGGCTGTGCCTCCTGAAGTCTATGATGAGCTCGTTGGTTTTCTTGGTGTTCAGAGTCAGATTGTTC